AAACTACCGAGTCTACAAGCAAAGTAAAAATAAGTAAAATGCGTGAATGAACAATGAGAGGAAAGGGGTCAATCAACAAGTGCATAAATAAATGGTATTAAGATAGCCGAAATAAAAATGACAAAGACATCTGTTTATAAAACATGAGTAAACAAAACTTTAATTAAACAGTAACAAGTAACTTAGCTCAAGGTAGGGATCAATGAAATAGTTCCGCGCCAAAATAAAAAACACGATGGCCAAAGGCGGGAAAAGAAAGTTTTATACAGTTCCGGAAAAAGAATGTGCGCACAGATAGAAAGGAGTACTCACTGTGGATATTTTAAGTTGTAAGTGATTATGCATATTTTTAATGTACAGGTTCAAAGTTATAAAGAATGTTCGGTAAATATTGAATTGACCGCTGGTAAATGTTCTGGACTGCTGTGGGCATCTAGCCGAGGGAGAGAGACGAAGCATGGTCTTGTAGAATGGTTTACGGCGAGCCCAAAGAGAAAGACGAAAAATGTTTTCGTTCAAAGGTAATACTATCCCTGCCTGTATTATTTGGTTCGAAGCCAGGGGTAAGTTTAAGTCACCTGTTGAACACGAAGTTTCTGCCGACGACAGTGTCGTGTGTCTCTAAAAACGTCTTCTGGTAGAAAACGGAGAAAAAGGTCCTGACCTGTGATTAGCAATTTGTTCGTTCAGTAGGACATCCCTGCCTATACTTATTAGGCTCCTGACGAGGGATCAAAATACGCCATTAGTTGAAAACGAACTTTTGCTCACGACAGTGTCGTGTGTCTCTAAAACGTCTTCTGGTAGAAAACGGAGAAAAGGGTCCGACCTGTTGGCAGCTTCAAAAGGAGAAAAAGTCTTGGTAGAGGGTGCAGTCGACATTGTTGAAAAAATAAGATATTCCGGCCCGCGTATGGGTTAAGTGCACGGAATAAATGAGTTGCCCATCCAGTCCGGTTGAAAGCTAAGAGGCAACTGGATTGCAAACGTTAGCAGTTTTGAAACGCCGAAAAACGCGCGGGAAAAATTCAAAAAGTCTAATTTGCATAAGTAGAAGTAGCAGCTCGTCTTGACTGCTGACCAAAAACAGTTACTACTGTATTAGACTAAAAGAGACAGAAAGGGGTGTCAAACGCGCGCACACACGCACGAGTGTAAAACAAAAGGGAGGAAACTCGCACGCGCGTAAAATTATAAATGGAATTAATGTTAATTCCATAAATACACTAAAAATCAAATTAATTATCGACTGTAAAAAATTTAAAACATCTAACCTTATCCTCAAAAATAACAACACAAAAGTAAAATTCCAATAAAGGAACATTATTTATGAATTCAAATGCTCCTTAAGGAACTTTATACTTGATCAAATCGAATTCATAAATAATTACATCGGCCACACTACTACATGCTTATCCATACGCCTTACGTTACACCAATCCGAACACAGCTCCATTAGAACCCATTTAAACACACACACTCCATCCGAAACATACCAATACAAATATAATAACCTCATCCACATGTAAAAAAAAAAAACGATTAAAAATAATGGAAGAAACATACACACAATTCATACACCCAATTAAAAGCTAAAATAAATTCATCCTTGATAATGGCTAAAAGTATAGCGGAAAGCGATTGGAATTAAAGAACAATTGGATAATTTCTACACACTCTGTGTCCAGAAAAGAAAACACTTGTTCGAACACAAGAAAAATTAAATAAAGAGCTTAATCGCAGTACCTTGACTGTCGTCTTTAATGAAACTTGTATAAATACGCACAATATATATAGTACCGCCACAGATTCACTAAAAATGGGCATACATTATGAAAAAAATGCCCCAAAACTTTTAAAAGTTCGAACTTCTGGTTAAAAATCTTGTTTTTATTGTGTCAGCCAGGTAGCCAAAAATTAGTATGCATAGGAAATTTTAGCGTCTTTTTTGTGATGAAAAATACACTGATTTGGAAATTCTTTAAAAAATGAAATAATTGTCGGATTTTAATGAAACTTTAAGGATTTGTATGCCAATGACGTTATTTCAGCCATTTTTTTTCTGCAAAATAGGATCGCCAGTTTGAAGTAATAAAAACATCGGATTAAAAATAAATCCAACTATTATTTACATACATACATACATACATACATATCTATATATATATATATATATATATATATATATATACACAGATTCACTAAAAAAAGCATGCAGGATGAAAAAAGCCCCAAACTTAATAAAAAAACAGTTTTTTTTTTAAATTTTTTTTTTATTGTCAACACATTTTTATTATTAAGAGGAAAGTCAAACGGATTTTTTTTTTTATTAAACTATACTTTTTTCCGTTTTGGAATATTTAAAATTTTGGTTAAAATCTTGATTTAAAAAAAAAAAAAACATTGATTTGGAAATTCTTGCAAAAATCAAAAAATTGCCGAATTTTAATGAAACTTTCAGGACTTATTCATGAATGAACGAAATTATTTTAGAAAAGTTTCTTTTTTAGAAAATCTTTGGAAAAGTATTTTTTATTTTTTACTTTCGTTACCTCTTTTTTAATTTCATGAAATTTCGAGGAATTCACTTTTTAGTATTTATATTAGTTATCAGAACAAGTCCTTGGAGAATTTAAATGATCATTTATTTTATCAAACCGAACCCCTAATTAAAAAAAAATGAAATAAAACTAAGACATTATTTAATGAGAAAAGCTTTTAATTGTTTTTATGAACTTTATTGTCTCAAGAAAAAAAAATCTCTGAAAAATGAGTTTAATTTCTTTTTTAAATTATAAATTATAAAAGTTAAAAACAAATCTATATTAATTTGTCGTAGTCAGGTGATATTGTTATTAAATAAAAACTACATTTACTAATCATAAGTGAAAAAGCTCACTCCAATTCATCGACCCCCAGCATTTTAAAAAGAATTTTGAATGTTTTCTGTGCATGTCTATAAACGTGCCGGTTTTTGTAAATACGGGCGTCTACATGAGGCATTACGGGAAAAAGAAGAGCAGCAAATATAGTAAATTTAAGATTTACTGGTAATTTTCTAACATTACCTCAACAGGCATCTTTGTAAGTAAGACTATGAAAAGTACCTAAAATTCAATAAAATATTAAATTACTTAGAATATTTTCGAAAATACTTATTATTGGGTCGTTAAAAATTATATAAAAAAGGCGTTCACGTATTATTCGCCAAGTAATTTTTACAGTTATGTGCCCTTTGCTTAAAAATGTCAACACTTCATAAAATATCAACATCCGTGTTAAAAATAGGCTTTTCTGCGATGTATTAGTTAGTTGTTTTAATTCAGATTAATTAGACTTTAAATTAGTTAATCTCACTTAATCTTCCTCAAATAAAGTTTCAGAAAAGCATATCTTATTTTTGAACGATTATCTTCTTTTAATAGATTTGTGAATCTTAACGATTTAAAAAATAAATCAATTTAAATTGGGTTTGAAATACAGAAAAGTATTTTGCTTATTGGAAATATTTAAATTTAATCTGTTGGCTGGGAATTAAAACGAAAATATAAACACTCTAAGAAAGATGCATTTAGGTATCGTTTGTTTTTGGAGGTACACACACACACACACACACACACACACACATATATATATATATATATATATAGTCTTAAGGTGTGGCATATTTATGGGATAAAGTGCTCAATATCAGAGATAGAGCGTGTGTAATCGTCAGACCACTATATTGCGTCTCTCGCATGATTGAACCCGAATGTCGCTTCTAAGTGTTGACTTCTATGTTCACTTAAAGCGGAGTCCTTATAAATCCATTGGTTATAATTTATTTCACGGGGTTAGACCCCCATCTCTTCAGACCTAAAAATTTTACAAGTTTGTAACTTCCTTTTTCTTTCTTTTTGTGGTAGTGTCTATGTTCCAATAGCAATACATTTAGCATTTTTATTTTTTTATTCAATTTTTATTTTTATAAAAATTTCAATTACGATTTTTTCAGAAGTGGCATTCAAATATTATTTAGTCATATTTTTAATATTTATGTTTTTATTCGTACCGACTTAAGATATTATATTTAAATTATTTACTAATTGCGTACATATGTGATAATGTTAAAATTAATATATTATAATAATCTATTTATGTATTTATAAACTATATTTTTATTTATGATCAAATATAAATATGTTAGTTTCTTTCTATAAAATTAGCTATTACTTAAGGAAAAATTTTGGCAATGTCTACAAAAAATTGGTATTTCATTTATTTGATTTAATACATTTTTATTTTTTAGAAACATAATAATATTTAATTTTTCATGTATGCACAAAGGACATGGGTCATTTAAAGATCTGCAAGTTCTTGTTTTTTTTATTAATTTCCATTTTACTGTTAGTGTTTTATTGGTTTCTTTTTCATATATATATATATATATGAGAGAGAGAGAAACTCTGGTTCGTATGGCATATGGTCGGTAGTGACGGAAGATGGTCTAGCAAGCGGTCAAGTAAAGGCAGTCTTGTTTACTTTGAAAATCGGTGTTAGAAACGCCAGTTTATGCTTTGATTTAAATTCGCATCATAAGCAACACTCGGAATTAGCAACTCTCTCACTCTGCAAGCAACTTACAGTACATAGGTAAATAGTTATATATATGAGTTGAGCTAGATTAAGAGGACAAAAGGAAAAAGCCAAATATATGAAAAGAAAGAAAGAGTGGTGGATGTGACGGTTTTTGGCGACTGTGCTGAGCGTATCGGAAATAGCAATTGTGTGAAAATTAGACTGCATGACTGGAAGTAATTTGTTTTCGTTTGTAGTTACTGAAACGAATTTTGCTATGCCAAGCTTGCTTAGATTCGAATACTTACTGCGAGCAACGGAAACGAATTTATTACCGCTTTGTCCATCAATGCAAGCCTTAAACTGATTGTTGCGATGACAGGTTTTTCCTCTGGTATTTGATGAAAAAATAGCAACAGTGAGTGAGAAAATCATTTTATTTATACTAGAAGGATAAAAAAAAAATGGAGGAAGGAAAGATTAAATGTACATGAAGTAGAAGACAAAAACAGACAGAATAGAAGAAATACACATGAATGAAAAATAGACGCGGATTGAAAAAAAGAAAGCACGAATAAGAATTTGCAGGAGAATGAATAAAGAATGAAAGAAAGAACAAGGAAAGGAAAAAAAATGAAAGTACTGATGGATTTAACCAACGAAAAAAGAAAAAGATGTACGCAGACTGAAAGAAAGAATGAAAGATACTTGCAGATGGAAAGAAAGAAAGAAGCACGCAACAGGGAACGAATAAGAAGTAAAAAAGAGGTTCCGTTAAATAAAGAATGAATGGAAAAGTGGGGAAAAAGAAAAATGCAGATAGAATGAAAACAAAAGAACTAAAAGAAATAAATGAAAAGAAGGAAAAAGAACGATGGAAAGAAAAAAATGGTGAACAAAGGGAAAGGAAAAGATGAAGAAAAAAGAAGGGAAGTAAAAAAGGTGAAAAACGAATGAAGGGAAAGAAAAAGGTGTAAAAGAAGGAAAATAAGATGAAAAACAAAGAAAAAAGATGAAAAAGAAAGAAGGAAAAGAAAAAAGATGAAAATGAAAAAGAAGGAAAAGAAAAAAAGATGAAAAAGAAAGAAGGAAAAGAAAAAAAGATGAAAAAGAAAGAAGGAAAAGAAAAAAGATGATAAGAAAGAAGGCAAAGGAAAAGGTGAAAAGAAATAAGGAAAACATGGTGGAAAAGTAATAAAGAAAAATGTTGAAAAAGAAATATGGAAAAAGGTAAGAAAGAAAGAAAAGAAAAAACGTGAAAAAGAAAAAGGCAAAAAAGAAAGAAGGGAAGGAAAAAGGCGAAAAAGAAGAAAGGAAAGAAAAAAGGGTGAAAAAAGAAGAGGAAAAAGGTAAAAAAGAAAGAAAGAAAAGAAAAAACGTGAAAAAGAAAAAGGCGAAAAAGAAGAAAGGAAAGAAAAAAGGGTGAAAAAAGAAGAGGAAAAAGGTAAAAAAGAAAGAAAGAAAAAAAAAACGTGAAAAAGAAAAAGGCAAAAAAGAAAGAAGGGAAGGAAAAAGGCGAAAAAGAAGAAAGGAAAGAAAAAATGGTGAAAAAAGAAGAGGAAAAAGGTAAAAAAGAAAGAAAGAAAAGAAAAAACGTGAAAAAGAAAAAGGCAAAAAAGAAAGAAGGGAAGGAAAAAGGCGAAAAAGAAGAAAGGAAAGAAAAAAGGGTGAAAAAAAGAAGAAGAAAAAGGTAAAAAAGAAGGAAAGAAAAGAAAAAAGGGTGAAAAAGAGAGAAGGGAAAGAAAAAAGGTTAAAAAAGGAAGAAGTGAAAGGAAAGAAAAGTATTGCCTTGAAAAAAAAAACAAATGAAGAAAAGACCAGGAATGTTGTCCATATTTGTTTATCACGGAATGTAGAAGCGTTATAAATATTTATATGTTCTTATGTCATTATTCACTGCTTAAAACAAACTTGTATCGCGCTTCCTGTTACATATTAAAAGCATCATGATTTCTATATAAAAGGTGATAGCATCCACTTAGAAAAAAAAAAAACAATAAATAAAATCTTGATATTCAACAAACAAAAATACAATTGCAATTATTAAATGACACTTTCTGTAATGCAACAAGCTAATCCAATTACATAATTAAATTTGTTTTATTTGAATTTTCAGAATTAATATCCTGTAAATTACATATTAAATCCATGTGTGAATCTTTTTTTTTTTAAATGATAAAAGAATATTTTATTGGAATTTGTATAAAATTGTTTACCCGTATATTAGCAGGGATATAGGGGTAGATTTTTAATGTCATTTATGCGTACGCGTGTGTGAGAGAGAAAGCCAGGGAGAGTGAAGTGTTTTCGTGCCTACGTTAAGCTTAGCAAACGTATTGATGTTTTATTCCTTATACGAATGAAAGTATTTAGTAAAAACTGATATATAAGCTTTGTATTTTGCGGCCTATAAGACGCACTAAGTCGCATTTGGAAGTACTTTTAATTGAGCTTTCATTATCGGATTATTAAACGTGGGGTCGTTCTTGAGGTATCTTCATTTATACAAGCGCATTAATGGAGGTAGAAAACGCTTTATATGGGAATAAATAGTTCAGTTCTTTTACGTTGTTTATATAATCTTGCGCATGTAGGAAAATGATAAAAATGATAAATAATAATAATGGCTAAGATAAAAAAGAAAGTTGACATTTTTCTTATATCTGAATTGTCGTACAGATAGGAATGTGCATTAAGTCGTGTTTGTCAACCTTTACAATGAGCACATGGTCGTCTCTGTAGTTCTAAGAATGCACATACGCAAGTGTGCGGGCAAATTAGCGCGTGTCTCTATCTCTCCCTCTGTGAGTGTGTGTTGGGCGAATCAATAAAGATGGCATTGCGTGCAGTTCTGATTAAAACAGATAAAAGAGTGAAAGTGAAAGTTGAGCTTAAAGAATGAAGAAAAGATTAAAAGTGAAAGTAGAAATAAATTGAGAAAGGGGTTCAGGTGGATGGAGAGTTAGAAGCTTGCAAAAAGAAACATGAAAGAAGGATAGAAAAAGAATGATATAAGAAATGAATAAAAATATGAGAAAGAAATGAGCGAAAACAATGGTAGATATTTGGAAATAAACTAAAAATACAAAAATAAATAAACTGGAAAGAAAAAGTGAACAAAAAAAAAAACGGTGGAAAACAGAAGCAGTTGATGGACATTCGATATAAATGTGCAAATATTGGAGAGAGAAAGAAAGAAAACGATAGATACTTGAAAGAAAAATTAAGGAGAAAATGAAAGAGATAGAAAAAGAAAGAAAGAATGCTTTTAAAAGATGGAAAGAAAAGAAGTATAAGTTTTAAATTGGAAAGAAATAATGGAATGAAAAAGAAAGGGAATAACTGAAGGGAATAATGAAAGAGAGAAGAGAAGAAATAAAAATGGAAAAATTAACTAAACAAAAAGAAAGAAACTAAATTTGAAGGAGACAAAGAAAGAGAAATAATAACGATTTTTTTAGTACGTAATTCTGCAAAGAGAAGACGTTTTTTTTTTATAAAAGGTTAAAATAGTAGAAATCGGCACGACAAAAAAAAAAAAAAAAAAAAAAAAAGAGAGGGAGAAGATGATGATATAATAAAAGTGAAGACCAATGCAAAGTAGCGAACGGGGTGGATTAAGAAAGTGTACGATAAAGATGAATAAAGAAAAGAGGGTGAAGAAAATTGGAAAGGAAAAAAAAAAGAAAAACGAGAAGGTAGTTTAAAGTAAAAGATAGAAATAAATAAAAGGGGAAATGGAATAAAAACAGAAGAATCAGAAGCATGGATGGAATGAAGAATAATCCATCAGAAGCTAATGAGAATGATATCAAATCGTAACAATGAATCGAGGATGATTTTAAAAGGATAAAAGGAAAGTGAGATATGAACTGTCATGAATTGGATAGGAAATAAATAATAATAATGATGCTGATGTGACAGGGTGAAGATGGGCAGTCAGGTAGAGGAAAATTCGGGATCTTAAAAGTGGAATAGGGTGGTTGAAAAAGACTGAGGACTAAACAGATACGGAAGATAAGAAGAGAAATGCCCGAAGGAATCACAGAAAGTACAAAATCATATCCCGCCTTTCCTTTCGATTTGCTCTCATTACACACAACTTCGCCATACAACTTTCTCCAGGAAACAATAAAGTAGAAAAGAGGCAAATAGAAACTTAAACATAAGAAGAAATAGAAGAAGAGAAAAAAAACTACTAACAAAAAAAAATAAAAATAAAATAAAGGCATATGTGAATAAGCATAAGAAAATAAAAAAAAAAGTCCATTTCTTCTTTCAAAGAATTAATTCTTTAAAACGTTTTCCCACTTTCGCGCCATTCCTCTGTTACCATTTTCTTTCTTTAATTCCTCATCTTTAATTTGTCACCTTTTTTCTTCCTTATTTCATTTATGCATATTTTGGTTTCGTCTTGTTCTTCTCAGTCTTTGAGCTGATTCTTTCTTTCCTTTTTTTACCTTTTTTGTTTCTTTCTTCTTTCTTTCAGTTCTCTTTCCTTTCTTTCTTTTTGGTTGGCTCTTTCTTACCTGTCCTTTCTTTCTTTTTTGTCTCTTTAGGTTTCGTTATTTCTTTCGTCTCTCTCTGTCTGTCTGTCTCTCTCTCTCTCTCTCTCTGCTTCCTTTGTTTCCTTCCTTCTTTCATTCTTTCCTTTCTGTTTTTTTAGTTCTTTCTTTCTTTTTCGCCTCTTCTTTTTTCTTTCTTTCTTTATTTTTTGTCATTTCCTTCTTTAATTTCTATTTTGTTTCTTCTTACTTTGTCACTTCTTTCTGTCTTTCTTTCTTTCTTTCTTTTTCATCTCCTTGGGGCTTTCTTTCATTCTTTCTTTCTTATCTCCTTGGGGCTTTCTTTCTTTCTTTCTTTTTCATCTCCTTGGGGCTTTCTTTCTTTCTTTCTTTCTTTCTTTCTTTCTTTTTCATCTCCTTGGGGCTTTCTTTCATTCTTTCTTTTTTATCTCCTTGGGGCTTTCTTTCATTCTTTCTTTCATTCTTTCTTTCATTCTTTCTTTCATTCTTTCTTTTTCATCTCCTTAGAGCTTTCTTTCTTTCTTTCTTTCTTTCTTTCTTTCTTATCTCCTTGGGTCTTTCTTTCTTTCTTTCTTTCTTTCTTTCTTTCTTTCTTATCTCCTTGGGTCTTTCTTTCTTTCTTTCTTTCTTTCTTTCTTTCTTTCTTTCTTTCAGATTCGCTTGTACTTTTTTCTTTCTTTCTTTCTTTCTTTCTTTCTTTCTTTCTTTTCTCTTTCATCCTATTTTTTCTTTTCTTTATTTTTTTTGTAATATCTTTCTTTAATCTCTGTTTCGTCTCTTTTTCTCTTTCGTCTCACCTTCCTTTCTTTATCTTTCGGTCTTTCTATTTCGTTCTTTCTTTCTCTCTTTCTTTCTTGCTGTTTCGCAGTTCTTTCTTTACTTTTTTTTTAATTTTTGATTCGTCGATTCTTTCTTTCTCTTCTTTCTGTTTCGTTTCTATTTTGTTTCATTTTAATTACTGTTTCCTTAATTCGTTACTGTCTTTTGCCAGTCTTGTCTGTTTCTTTCCTTTCTCTTCTGTTTCGTCAGTTCTTTCTTTCTTTCTTTCTTGTTTCAGACGTCATTTCTTTTGATTACTTCTTCTTCATCACTTCACCCCCACCAATTCTACTTTTCTCCTCACTCACTCCCATCACCACTACCGCAACCACCCTGTTCTGAATCTTTCCTCTCCCCTCTCCCCCCACCCAAATTCAAACCCCCACCCACCTTCATATCCCTTTCGCTCTTATTTTTCCACCATCCACCTTCTGTCAATATTTATACATCCATGTCTCGACATTACTTTGATTCTTAATTCCTTCCCATTTCTAACTGTCCTTCCATTTTTTTTTTGCCGCCTTACTCTTCCCTCAACAGCCTCTCACGGACGCCATAAGACGCAAATATCTGTCCACACAGGCACGCTCACTCACAACGACAGAGATTTGCACCCAACTTTTTTGTATTTTGGGACTTTTTTTTTATTTTATTTCAACGCTTTTCGGTACCCTTAGATTTCTGTACCTTCTTTTTTCGATGTTCTTCACCTTTTTTTTCACTTTCTTTGATTTCTTTCTGCAAACTCTCAATTTACATTTTCTTTTCTCTCTACGTTAATGTTTTCCTTTCTCTCTTTTTGTTTGTTTTTTTTTTCTTCATTTGTAATTTATTTATTTTTTTTGCAGCAGTTCTTTTTTTCTGTCTTTCCTTCTTTTTTCTTTTCTGTACACACTGTGCATTTCATTTCTTTTATTTCTCATGTCCTTTCTTTTTCATCTGTACTTTTTTTGTCATCTTTTCTTTCTTTTTCCTTGTTCTTTCTTTTTCATCAGAAATTTCTTTATTTTCATCTGTTTCTTTCAATTTCATCTGTTCTTTCTTTTTCATCTATTATTTCTTTCTTTTTCATCTGTTTTTTTTTTCATCTATTATTTCTTTCTTTTTCATCTCTTCTTTTTTACTTGTTCTTTCTTTTTCATTTCTTCTTTGTCATATTCCTTTTTTCTTTCCTTCTTTCTCATCTAAATATGGTTCTATAGAAAAATACTGCGAATACCATGGACTGAACATGTGAACAACGACGAAGTTTTAGAAAAATAAATACAAAAAGCACGCTTTTACTTCACACCAGAAAGTGACAGTTAAAAATTCTAGGGTGCATATTAGGAAAAGGGGTCTTAGAAAATTTGACACTCACAGGTCATTGAAAGCAAGGAAGACAGAGGAAAGCAGCACGTATCCCCTACCTTGAGAGATAACAAAAAGATAAAATTTACTAAGATATACAAAAGACAGGAAGTTGTGGAGAGCCATGATTGTCCACGTTCTAAAGGGACAGTGTAGATAGAAGAAGTCCTTGGTTTAAGTCATTATCAACTCGGAAAACCAGTTTTCTTTTGCATTTCTCGGCCGATTCATTCTGTTTCTTTTTATCTGACAACCATCAAAATCTGTTCGTCAAAACAACTATCACTTTTCTTTCATTCTTTCCTCTTTCTTTTTTCCTTCTTTTCATTGTTTCTTTATTTTTTTAGACAGTTTTTCTGACGACCGAAATCAATCAATTCTCTCTTCTTTTCAAATAGATCATCAGCTTTTCATTCCCATTTTAAAGTCTTTCTTTTGTGTCTGTGTGTGCGTATTTCTTCTCGTTTTCTTTTACAATAATTCTTACCTTGCCTTTATTTAGATGTCTTTACCGTTATTATAATTTTGACATATTTCAATTTTTTCTTCATTATGTTTCTCTCTCTCTCTCTGTTTAGATTTCTTGTATTTTATTTTCAGTCAACGTATTTCTTTCTTTCTCTTTTCCATTCTTTATTCTTTTTTTCCATCGTTTTTATTTTTCATCGTTTATTTCTTTCCTTCTTTCGTCCTTTCTTTCCTCTTTGCCTTCTTCTCTATTTTCTTTCTTGTTTTACTTACACTCTTTCTTTCTTCTTTCTCAACCTCCTCTCAGCATCATCTCTTCTCTTCTCCTTCCCCCGCCTCCCACTTCCTCTCGGTGCACACGTGCCGACGGAATCGTCTCTAATAAACCCTTTACATTTCTCACATCCATCACTTAAAGTCACCAGACCCTTTTTGCTTGGTAACAACCCGACAAATATGTCTTTTTTTTTTTACCCTCCCTATTTGCCATCTCCTGTCACTCCCCGCCCCCTGCTACTCATCTCTTTAATTAGGTTCAATTCCTCATCTTTCCCTGACGCAACATATTCCGAATATTACTCGATCCCTAGATGCCTTCTTTTCCGGCGTCATGTTTTCTCTTTCCTTTACTTCTTGCTTAACCCTTAATGCTGCAATGTCACACACATCCTCATTGTCTTGAAACGCATTTTCTTGTTCTCTTCGATTTTGTCTGTGTGTCTGTCAGCTTCTCGACTTACACTTTCGACACGATTTCATCTACCTTGTCGACTTTCAATTTGTCTTCTAACTTTTTTTTAGAATTTATTTGATTTTATAATTAGTGTCCTTTGAATCACGCTCTAAATTGCAGAAATGATTTCTTTTTTTATTTATTCAAAATAAATAACCACTGAAATTATAAAAATAAATTACCACTGAAATTATATAAATTACCACTGAAATTATATAAATAAATACGGAAATTATATAAATAAATTACCACTGAAATTATATAAATAAATACTGAAATTATATAAATTACCACTGAAATTATATAAATAAATACAGAAATTATATAAATAAATTACCACTGAAATTATATAAATAAATACGGAAATTATATAAATTACCACTGAAATTATATAAATAAATAATGAAATTATAGGAATAAATAACCACTGAAATTATATAAATAATGACATTATAGGAATAAATAACCACAGAAATTATATAAATAAATAATGAAATTATAGGAATATATAACCACTGAAATTATATAAATAAATAATGAAATTATAGGAATAAATACTGAAATTATATAAATAAATTACCACTGAAATTATATAAATGAATAAATACTGAAATTATAGAAATATGTAACTATTGAAATTATATAAATAAATAACCACTGAAATTATATAAATAAATACTAAAATTATATAAATAAATTACCACTGAAATTATATATATATATATATATATATATATATATATATATATATATATATATATAAATACTAAAGTTATATAAATAAATTACCACTGAAATTATATATATATAAATACTAAAAGTTATATAATTAAATTACCACTGAAATTATATAAATAAATACTAAAATTATATAAATAAATTACCACTGAAATTATATATATATATATATATATATATATAATAAATACTAATGTTATATATATATATATATAAACCACTGAAATTATAGAAATAAATACTGGAATTATATCAAATAAACTAAACTAAACAGTATTGCTGTATTACTTATGGAAATATTTCTTAACGGCTTTATACGCAACGATTGTTTGTAAACCTTGTATTTTTTTAAGTGACTTCTTTCAATATTTGTACAGATCAATAAACTGATAAATAATTTGTACATGCACATACATTGACATATACTCATATATACATACACATATAAACATAAATAGGTACACACACGTGTGTGTGTGTGTGTGTACACGCGCGCTGCTGGGAATTTTAGATTTTTTTTTTTTATCTAGCCGAATTCATTTTTAGAGTCTTTTTTTTTTCTTTCCATCACTTTTGTCAGTAGATATTTCTCAAATGATGAAAAGAAAAAGAAAAAGACCCTAAATGAATTCGGCTAGATTAAAAAAAAAAATTTCTAAAATCCTCAGCGCCCCTCGTTCGTGCGCATATGTAGTCCTACCAACATAAAAAAAAAAAATTAGTCCGATGAAGTCCTGAAGGTCGAAACGCGTCACAAGCAAACGTTTCACACACACACACACACACACACACACACACACACACACACATATATATATATATATATATATATAGTCTAACCCGGATATAAGAGAAACCCGGATATAAGAGAGATTTTCTCTGGTCCCAAATTAGAGTCTGTGTTAATGTATAAAATAGACCAAACCCGGATATAAGAGACTTCTTCTCCGGTCCCGACAACTCTCTTATATCCGGGTTACACTGTGTGTGTGTATATATATATATATATATATATATATATAGGGAATGGAGAACGTACAGTGAAAATTACAAATTAAAAAATTACAACACTGAATATGTTGTTAATATGCAAAATACATTTTTATGTCTTGATATCTATTGGAAGTGTGTGTATGTATGTATGTCACATATATGTATATGTGTGTATGTATGTATGTCACATATATGTATATGTGTGTATGTATGTATGTCACATATATGTATATGTGTGTATGTATGTATGTCACATATATGTATATGTGTGTATGTATGTATGTCACATATATGTATATGTGTGTATATGTATGTCATATATGTATATGTGTGTATGTATGTATGTCATATATATATATGTGTGTATGTATGTATGTCACATATATGTATATGTGTGTATGTATGTATGTCACATATATGTATATGTGTGTATGTATGTATGTCACATATATGTATATGTGTGTATGTATGTATGTCACATATATGTATGCGTATGTATTTGTGTGTGTATCGATATGATGTCTTGTGATAGCCACACTTGACATTGCGGTGGCGGCCGCCAGATGAATGTATCGTTTTCTAAACAATGGACACTTCCTATTTAAAATAGACGCCCTAATTTCTTATTTATTAAACAGTGTGTATTACGTTTATTGTTCTAGGCGTTCAAGAAATCCTCTCTCTTTCTCTATCTATCTATCTATATATATATATATATATATATATATATATATATATATATATATATATATATTTCTAAAGAATTAATGGATTTATTGGTATTCCGACATTTTCATGACTTCAAACATTATTATAGTGGACACTTCGTATTTGAAATAGACGACCCAATTTTTTTTTAAACAATGTCAATTGTGTTTGTTGGGCTGTGTTCAAGAAATCTTACACACACACATATATATTCCAACATTTTTATTACTTCAAACATTATTATAATCGACATTTCGTATTTGAAATAGACGCCCCATTTTTATTTATTAAAATGTTTATTACATCTATCGGCCTGCGCATTTGAGAAATTTTATTTTAGTAAAAAAGAAAAAAAAATGCGTTCTCCGGCAGGGAGCGAATCTTCGTTCAGCGGTACCAGGCGACAGACATAATGCACAATGGGTTGTCTATTTCAAATACGAAGTGTCCACTATAATAATGTTTGAAACATATATATATATATATATATATATATATATATATATATATATATATATATATATATATATATAAATTTATTTATCGTTTCCATATTTATACCGTCTGGAATGTTGGAGTTTGGCGAATACTGAGGAAGGTGCTGTAGATTTTGGGATGCATGCTATCATTCAATCTCCAACGTTAATCACAAGACATCTGTGATGAAGAGTAAATCCATTTTTTAAATAACACCACCAACAACCTCTCGTCATTTCTATCATGAATAGGTACATTAGTCTTTCCATTGATATGCTTTATATAGGATCCTGTTAGTTAAAAAGTGAACAATATTTGGGTCTTTTTTTTATTACACCTGGGCGGGTGGATTGCCCAACCATTCGTGTATCCACTCTCTTCTGCTTCAAACATTTTGAGCGACGAAACCTTTGTCAAGGTATGATAAAAAAAACAAACAAAAAAAACAGGAAAAATAGGTCCGTGCTTTGCTGCAACGGTTTGGGACAATGTGATCGTAAACATCCCCTGCCGAAATTTGAACTCGACTTATTTACGAAGCACGACTATACGTTTCCACCTTTACTTGTTTCTCTTCTTTCTTTCTCTCTTGTTTTCTTTTTTCCCTTTACATTGTTCCCATCTTCTCCCTTATCCGTTCTTGCTCTTTTCAATAATAATAATAATCTTCTTCTTCAATTCTTCTTCTTGTTCTCTTCTTCTTCTTCTTCTTCTGCAGTTCTTCCTTTTCAGTTCTTCTTCTTCTTCTTCAATATCAGTTCTTCTTCTTCTTCTTCAATCCTTCAGTTCTTCTTCTTCCGTTCTTCTTTTTCTTACATTTCTTCTTCTTCTTCTTCTGTTGTCCCTTCCTCCCCCCGCAAAGAATCTAATTTCTTAATTTAAATAGTCATTTCTTTTCTATTTTAAACATGTCTTTCGTTCTTTTTTATTTCTTCTCTTTCCTTTCCTCTTCTTCTTTTATTTTCTTCATCCTCATTTTTCTCAAAAGGTTCGTTACCCACTTCTTGCTTTTTTTCTAATTTTCTCCATTCACACCACTTATGTTTTTTTCTTCTTCTTCTTCTTCTTCTTCTTCTATTTCTCCCTGCCATTTCGTCTCCCACCCAATGACTCTCTCGCCCACTACCCACGCGGCCGCTACCCAAGCATGTGTATATTTTACACAAATCAATTTCAAACCTTCGCTTATTTAATACCTATTCTTATCCAATTCCTCTCCTTCCGCAATGATCTCTTTTCTTCTCTCTATCCCTGACACAATTCTTTCTTGTTATGATGATGTTGAAGGCGTCTTTTTACCCTTACCCACCATTTTCCTCTTACAGCCAAAGAAAATAAAGAAAAAAAAAGAAAAGATTTTGCCACCCACTCTAATTTATTTCTGTGTTTCCGTTCACTTGAATGTTTCTATTTATTTCTTGTGATTAGTTGATATGTCGCTCCGCACACATGCTCGCAAGTGCTCTCATTCACCTTCTTGTTCGAGCGCGCGTGCGCGCGCACACACGAAAGCGAAAGTAGAAAAGAAAGAGAAGGAAATGGAGAAGAAGAATAAAGGGGAGGTTTAGGAATGATAGAAAGGACGGACGAATGAATGAATGAAAGAAAGAAAGAAATAAAGAACGGATGAAAGAAAGAAAGACAGAACGGACAAATGAACGAACTGAGAAATGAACGAACGAAAGAAAGAATGGATGAATGAATGAATGAATGAAAGATGTAATTAAATGAAGAGAGGGGAAAAAATTGAAAGAAAAGATTACAAAGAAACTCAGTGTAGTAAACTGAACCTGTTAATTGCTTTTTATTATTATTATTGTTATTAATAATTTTTAATTAACCAGCCTTAAAAAGCATGGAATTCTAGTTGTTTTACAGAAATTTAACTTTATCCGTCATCAGGGTTACGTGATCACCATGCGTCCTCAACCCCCAACATTTTTTTCCCCAAGCTCGTTTTTCAGTTAATTAATTTCCCCCAAATATAAATAACTTTAAAAAAGAATATACCAATATTCACTGCTTTCCAATTTTATCTGACTTTGTCTATCATTGGATAAAAGTTATGGAACAAAAAAACATCAGTTATTCTTTGTTAGGGTAGGTAAAAAGTCATAATGGGTAGGAATGTCAGAAAAAATAAGTAATATTTAATTTATTTAATATTCCTAATTAAGATACATTTAATTTATTGTAAAGAAATAAGAAAAATGTTAATAAACCAATTGAAATATTATTTCAATGACTATAAATTCTCTTATCGTTGACATATAGTTTATTAAACTATTAGTTCAGTTGTCACAAATTAAATCCTTAGAGGTAGGGTAGCACCTGTTAGGGTCCCAGGTATGGGTAAATAATGGACGCCAACACAACATAAACACGATTAATGTATAAAAATATTTTTATATGAAAAATACTAACAATATGTATTTATAGTAAGAATGACCAACAATACATTTTATAACAAAATGACCAATAATACATTTTATGTGTAATTCAAGGCATACAATTATGTTCAAAATATATTTAATAGAAGCCATAAAATTGTGTTCAAAATATTTAGATATCTACATTGAATAACCCATAGAGGTGTTGATATGTCGCTTAACAAAATCAACCAAGATGGAAAAACTCTTTCAGGACATCAATCCATATAAATGAAACTGTATTTCAAAATATAACTGAACAACGCTACACCAGAATACGTACTTAACACAGCCTCATATAATCATGTCTACACAAAAGCTGAATATTATCTGCCATGTATTTTGTCGTAAAAGTACCAGCTATACATATTTGTAGTAAAGATACCAGTAATACTTATTTATAGTAAAATTATCAACAATACAATTTTTTAGTAGAATTACCAATGATACATTTTTAGCAAAATGACCAACAATACATTTTATCTGTAAGTGAAGATATACAATTATGTTCAAAATATATTGAGTTGAAGCCATAAAATTGTATTCAAAATATTTAGATTTCGGCATTAAATAACGCTGATATGCCACTAAACAAAATCAACCAATCAACAAATTAAATCAAACTTATCATTAACCTGAGTTTATAAAATATTATTCCCTTTTGATTTTTTTTATGGTTTATCAACCCTTTTGCAGTGTATTTAAAGCCACAAAATATTTTTAGATTGTAAGAAGTTTTTAAAAGATGATAATGATTTTTACTGATACAATTTTTATTAATTAACCCATAGTTGGGGGAGAACAGTTGTATTCACACCTTTCCAAAGAGTATTTGCACATTAGTGCATGCAACAAACCTGACTGGAATTGGAACTTCCGACCAATTATCCATTACACCACCTGCACATCCAAGCTTACTGCACCAAATATTCCCAAGCAGTCACCCTTCTAAGTACTGATGAAGCTCGGTGTTGCTTAACTTCGATGATCAAACAATAGTAAATATGACTCAGGTCAGATGATGGCAAAATGGATTTTGCACTCAGTATTTCAAGGAGAACAGGTGCATCATCAAGTTGACCAGAAAGGTTATCTCTTAGCCAGTTAGTGCAGGATTTGCCTTCCCTGGATGTCAGTAGGTGCCCCTGATATGTAAATAATGGTTTGACCTAGTTGCTCTTGGAATGTGCGCATGCGGGACAACTGGGTAGATATATAAGCACCCACCTACGAGGGAAGAAGAGAGTTTTTTTTTTTTAATCATTTCACCACAAGCAAGGCAATAATGTCATTAAGAAGCAGAGTGTGTAAGAGAATGAGAAAAAGGACAATAAAGGAACAGGATTTAGGAAAATGGAAGATGGCGATTGATGTTGCATTTAAATTTTTGAAGATTGTAATCAGAAGGAAGTTCTACAGGTGAGAAGTGTGACGAGAAAAGAAACTGTTAGAATAGAATGGATGGTTGACTGTAGGTAGTTCAACAGTAAAATGGTGAGACCTAGTTACCGATCTAGTAGTAAGCTTAAATCCATGCTGTCAAGGTACTAAGAAGAACAGCTCATCAGAACAATTGCCATGAAAATATTTGTAGAAAAGACAGAGGGAAGCCACATCATATTGGTGGGAAAATGATTGAAATAAGGATTACAGGTCAGTATCGATTACTTTACAGATACTTCTTTGAATTTTGTCAAGAATCTCAAGATATGTAGTAGAAGCACCAGACCAGATATGGCAGCAATATTCAACGCATGGATGAATGGTATGGACATACTAATGAGAAGAAGAATCTATGCTTGGAGGAAACAGTAATGTTACATGTGAAAGATTTAGAATCTGTCTATATCTCTGAGATGAGGTATTATGATTATTTGCATTATATTCATCTTCATTGCCATATTCATAACATTTCGGTTGATGTACGCTCTGGCTTATTTAGGTGACTGGAATTTTTCTTCAATATCTGTCTGTATCTCTGAGATGAGGTATTATGATTACTTACATTATTTACATTATTTGGACTGTTATCCTCTTCTTCATTGCCACATTCATATAGCAATGAAGATGAGGATAACAGTCCAAATAATGTAAATAATGAAAGATTTAGACTTCTGTCCTCACCAGACATAGGGAAGGAGTTGCCTTTGGCTTTCTCAAGCTTTCTGTACATCTTGGACATTAACAGCAGAATTGCATCAATGAATCCAAACTTTAGAAATAAGAGACTGCAGAACCAAGTGATGCCAACAAACAAGAAAATAAAGCTGTCTGAGTGGCTTTATTGCCTTGCTTGGGGTGAAAAAAGGAAGAAGAAAAAGATGAAGCAAAGGATGAAATATCTGTAGATTTAACGGCTTCGGTAAAATGTTATCTGAAATGATGAATAATTAAAAAGGCAGTTCCTTCGACAAGAAAATATTAACATTGCCAAATCATAAGATGCCGATTTCACCAGACAGCTTGAAACTGTTTAATGCAGGGGCCTTCAAAAATGTGGGGCCCATAGAATTTGCTATTTAAAGCTACTTGGTTAATCCAGCATGGGGTACAGCTGCGTCAAAGAATCAAAGATGTCAAAACATGTTCTCAAATCATAGAGCATCTAGTCTACCATTTCTAGATCAAGAAGCCAAACACAATTGATAGAAAAACATTATTTACACTATTTACATTTAGACTATTGTCCTCATCTTTGTTATCACAACGTTTCGGCCATTGTGCTCTTTGGTCTTCATCAGGTGTATATTGATCCAACTAAACTACAGGGAATTCTGAACTGAACCCTTTATTTAATCGATGGAGGTAGACTGTTCCCTCTTCACTGGATATATCTAAAGATATGGCTGTCTATTTTTAATATATATTATGCCTTTAAATTCCATGAGGAACATAGGGCCACAATATATTGTTGCAGTTTCTACAACAAGCCAGTTTTTAAGTGAGTAGATTGTTAGCCTACTGCACAACCCCCAACCTGGAGGATCAGGTTTTGAATTCAGTGTTGTCTGTCTCCTAGACCAGTTGCCACCCAAAGCTATAGAACCCGGTCTGTCCTGCTATTTACCCATAGCTGGGAGGAGGAGAGGAGGATTCATACCTTTCCCAAGGGTATTAGCACGTAAGTGAATGTAATGGATTCGACTGGAATTCGAACTCAGCTCTCTGATTCCTCAATCCGACCCACTATCCATCGTGCCTCCTCGTCTATTTTTTTAATAATGGTCAGTTATTTCCTGTAGGTTACCTGGATCAATATAGTATGATGAAAGCTGGAGACCAGCTGAAACATTGTGATAAGAACAACAAAGATGAGGACAATAGTCCAAATATAAGTAGTATAATAAGAAATAATCCAGACCTCATATTCACTATGAAGAGGAGAAAATAATCCAGACCTCATATTCACTATAAAGAGGAGAAAATAATCCAGACCTCATATTCACTATGAAGAGGAGAAAATAATCCAGACCTCATATTCCCTATAAAGCGGAGAAAATAATCCAGACCTCATATTCACTATGAAGAGGAGAAAATAATCCAGACCTCATATTCCCTATAAAGAGGAGAAAATAATCTAGACCTCATATTCACTATGAAGAGGAGAAAATAATCCAAACCTCATATTCACTCTGAAGAGGAGAAAATAATCCAGACCTCATATTCACTATGAAGAGGAGAAAATAATCCAGACCTCATATTCCCTATAAAGCGGAGAAAATAATCTAGACCTCATATTCACTATGAAGAGAAGAAAATAATCCAGACCTCATATTCACTATGAAGAGGAGAAAATAATCCAGACCTCATATTCACTATGAAGAGG